ATTATTATTATTATTATTATTATTATTATTATTATTAATAATAATAATAATATGGTGTGGTCAACAGTAATACTCCTGATAAAGGAAAAATATCGGATTTTTTAGGAATGCACAACGTATCAATTCAGCACTGACACAATGTGCACATCTGCAGTACTCATAGCAAGATGTGAATTAGAGTTGTAATTGTTTTCCTGTAATTTATTATATTTTATGCAGATACATTCCCCTAAAAAATTATTTCAGTCTAACATGAAAATCTTTCCTACAGAGATATATCTGGTGAAAATGTATTCATATCTCAATATGTAACACAAAAAGAAAGAAAAGCGCAATGTCTTTTTTTGAGATATCCAACAGTGTTACCAAATATGGTTAAAAAAAATACCATTTTACATGTCCAGGTCCACATGACGGTTTGTTGTATTTATTTAGTGTAATCTCTCAATTTGTTACTGCCTAATCATCAACTACCATTAGTCAATGCTACTGTTAAATTAAACTAATTAAAACTAATTTGGGTTGAATGATTAACCCCAACTCATAACACATGGTCTTGGTATTAATTGAAAAACTGTTACGTTTTTTTTAAATATATAATATAATGTATAACAAACAAAAGAAAAACAAAATCACATTAAACATTCACCAAAACATTTTTTCAAACTCTTACATTTACAACACGTTACAAATGTTATAAAAATGTAGCTATTATACAGTAGTCCACCATTAGAATAACAATGCTTTCCAATGACACAGACTTGTGACAGCTAGCTAATAGGTAAACATTAGATGCGTGACAGTTAATGAACAGAGAGAAGTAAGAGATGGTGAGAGAAGGACCAACCTCTACCGACAGATCTGCTCTCAGTGGTCAGAATCCGCGGAGGATTCACTTCAGAGCTCCAGCAGCAACCGGCGCCATTCCTCCTTACATACAGCTCTCCGCTGCGGCTGTAACGAGCTTCCCGATTGGCCACAGGGCGATAAGTCAAATGCATCCTGGGAACTGAAGTCCGGTTTTTTTTGCCTTTCAAAAACAACAATTTGGGCCAAACTCAGTCCAAACATAATCTTGCACAAACTGACTGAGACATGTCAGATATCCAGTGAATCAAGTACAAAACCAAACAAAACTAAAATAATAATAAAATGTACAAAATAACTTAACAAAACAAACAAAAAATAAATAAATAAATAAATAACACATACCATGCAGAAACTCTGTAAGGAGACTGAAGTCCGTGTTTACTAGTAACTACATCAGTTTTTGTTTTCTGAGAAAAAAAAGACACAGGTTCATTTTTTACTGTCATTTTTTACAGAGTCTGTTGTATATGCTGTAGTAGATACCAATGTATTTTGGTCATGAATTATTCAGTGACATAAACAGATTCTATAATTTAATAACACAGCCCCAAAATGCGAAATGTTACACATTTACCTAGTCGTGAGCAAGTTGTTAATAATTGAAAATATATCAAACATTTAAAGTTCACATTTTACATTTTAAGAAGTACAGATCAAAATAATATTTTCAATTAAATATGTGTCATGTGAAAAGGTCGCTGATTCAAACCTCGGCTCAGTTGGCGTTTCTGTGAGGAGTTTGTATGTTCTCCCTGCGTTCGCGTGGGTTTCCTCTGGATGCTCCGGTTTCCCCCACAGTCCAAAGACATGCTGCAGGTGAATTGGGTTGGCTAAATTGTCCGTAGTGTATGAGTGTATGAGGGTGACAGGCCTAGATGACAGGCTGCCCGGAATGTGTAAAAAAGTCGTTATCATATGGACAAGTTTAAATGGAGGACTTGTTTCAAAGAGCCGACCTCGCAACCATACAGGTATAAGGCCAAAGAAGATGTGTCATGTCAAAAAAGTTTTTTTAAATTGTATTTTGGCATTTTATTTACAATTATTTGGACAATTTACTTCAGCATGTTTTCTAGATATAAATTAAATTGTAACAGACTGAGAAGTTGTCAACAAAATTCTAACATTCTTGGCTCTATACACCAATACAATCGATTTGAAATGTGCTTTAAAGAGCCCATATTATGGGTTTTTGAAAATGCCCTTCCATGTAGTGTGTAACACAGCTGTAAGTGAAGTGAAATATCCAGCTATAAGGCTTAAATCTGTAAGCATACTGTGTTTAAAACTGTTGATTCATCTACAAAAGAGTCAACTCATAGTGCTTCAAACGAGTCGTCTTGATAACGAGTCATTAGGTGTTTCACTATGAGGTGACAACGAAACCAAGTAGTTGCACACGCAAACCCGGGAGATTTAAAACATGAGGCCCCGCCCTCTAACACAGAAAAGGAAAAACACACACCCACACATACAAACACAAACACGCCAGTCTAATGAAGTGGCAATGTGCAGATGGATATTATTGAGTCTACCCAAAGATGAAACCTCAGCATTAGCCCAGCCTTGAGCAGTTTAAGTGCTTCTTTCATCAAAATCAGGTGAACAGTAAAGGAATTACAACAGTTTGCATATGTGCCTCACACTTGTTAAAGGTCCAAAAGTAATTAGATAATTGGCTTTTAAGCTGTTCCATGGCCAGGTGTGTGTTATTTACTCATTATCCCAATAACAATTGAGCAGACAAAATGTCTAGAGTTCATTTCAAGTGTGCTTTTTGCATTTGGAATTTGTGAGTCAACTCTCAAGTTGACAGAGATCCAAAGACTATCTAGTGAAGCAAGCCATCATTAGACTGAAAAAACAAAACAAACCCATCAGAGAGATAGCAAAAAAACATTAGGTGTGGCCAAAACAATTAGAATTCTTAAAAAGAAATAACGCACCACTGAGCTCAGCAACACCAAAAGATCTGAAGACATCAGAAACAACTGTGGTGGATGACCAAAGAATTCTTCCCCTAGTGAAGAAAACACCTTTCACAACAGTTGGCCAGATCAAGAACACTCTCAGGTTTAAGAGTGTCAAATGTCAACAATCAAGAGAAGACTACACCAGAGTGAATACAGAGGGTTCACCAAAAGATGTAAACCATTGGTGAGCCTCAAAAGCAGGAACGCCAGATTAGATTTTTTAAAAAGCCTTAACAGTGCTGGAACAACATCCTATGGACAGATGAGACCAAGATCAATTTGTACCAGAGTGATGGGAAGAGAAGAGAATGTTGAAGAGAAAAAAACTGCTTATGAACCTAGGCAGTGAAGCATGGTGGTAGTAGTGACATGTCATGGGCATGTATGGCTGTCAATGGAACTAGTTTTCTTGTGTTTATTGAGGATGTGACTGCTGACAAAAGCAGCAGGAGGGATTCTGAAGTGTTTCAGGCAGAATTTTCTGCTCATATTCAGCCAAATATTTCAGAACTCATTGGACGGCACCTCACAGCGCAGATGAAGAATGACCCAAAGCATACTGCAAAAGCAACCAGAGTTTTTCAAGGGAAAGAAGTGAAATGTTATGCAATGGCCAAGTCAATCACCTGACCTGAATGCGATTGAGCTTGCATTTCACTTACTGTAGACAAAATGGAAAGGAGAATGCTCCAAGAACAAGCAGGAACTGTAGAGGGTTGCTGTAGAGGCTTGGCAGAGCTCCACCAGGAATGAAACCCAGCAGCTGGTGATGTCTATGCGATTTAGACTTCAGGCTGTAATTGACTGCAAATGTTTTGCAACCAAGTATTAAAGAGTGAAAGTTTGATTACTAATAATTATTCTGTCCAATTACTTTTGGACCCTTAACAAGTGGGAGGCACATAAGCAAACTGTTGTAATTTCTACACCATTCACCTGATTTGGATGTAAATACCCCCAAATTAAAGCTAACAGTATGCAGATAAAGCACATCTTGTCGGTGTCATTTTAAATCAATTGTGTTGGTGTAGAGATAAAAATGTTGGAATTGAGTCGATGGACACATTTTTATGGACCTAACAGAACATGTATAGGCTGTCATCACAACTGATTCAATTCATGTTGTAATCCAAAACAATCCAGTTCAAGGATATAAAAGGACAAAGAGATATGTTGGTTCGCATCTGCATTTTAATGGGACAAAGCAAAAACACGTAATAAGATGAACATTATCAAAAAACCCTCAAAACAAAGGTTTTAATTTATTCGTAGGCACTGCCTATGTTTAATGGTCATCAGTTATTTTCAAATGAAATCAACTCAAATACGGCAACACAATTGGTCTCGTCTATTAAATGGGCAACAGTGCAAAATTCTGATCCACCCAGGTTTCCTGTCTTGATACTAAATACTTCATTAAAAAAAAAAATCAGCATTTTCATTTTATACACAGATTTATCGCAGTTCTAACAAAATGTTCAGTGCTGCAGAAAAGCAGCAAATTATTCTCCTTGAGTTCTCTGTAACAATTCTTAAAACCATATGGACCAGCATTTAACAGAGCCGCTAATGCCGTAGGAGTTGCAATGAAGCCCAAAAACCTTCCCCAAACCCCCTCCCACCCACCGACCTACCTACAAAACAAAAAAAGCAAGCAAGCAAGCATCCATAATCAACATTTGAGTTTTCTTTATATAGCGTCCCAACAGTTGAACACAGTTGTTTGGTTATTTACATACAGAACGGTATACTGTACTTAGAAGCCCTCAAAAAAACTGGAATGCAAAACAATTTAAAATACCTAAAATTTGCGTAACATCAAATTCTTGTGAAAACGTATTAATATTGTGCAATATTTATCTGCCCTCAAAGAAAAAATGCGGCAGTCATCCCTGCAATTGGTTTAGTTTGAGAAATTGAATGTCTAATTAAAAAAATACAACAGTTGACATCCATTTTATTCATTTTATAAACAAACTAAAAAAAAAAAATTGACATTTCACACGATTCGTTGGTGTCATCGCTCCTCTCAAAAAAACAAATTTTGCTTTTAAAATGGCAAGTCCAAAAAACAAGAAAGGCAAAGCTTCATATATTACAATATCAGCAGCTGAAATCGCTCGAAACAAACCAAAAATAAAGGCAAAATGAAAAAAGTTGCAGTTATTGTTGATTTTATTCATTTATAGTTAAAAATGGCATAGTCCTCTCCGAATAAGTCAGCCGGACACCAGGCCAGAGACTTGGGGATTTGTAAGGGTGTGTGTGTGTTTGTGTGAATACGTTTGTGTATCAGGGTGTGATGTTTAATCCGGGTGTAGGGCAACCCGACCCCACAATGACGAGCAAGATCTGCCTCAAAGTCTCAAATTACAGGTGGAGGACGAGGGAGAAAAACAAAAAAGAAAAATGGCACAGCGCCTCCCCCAGGCCAGGCATATCTTGACGTGTGTTTGAGTGTGTAGATCCCTGCAGTGGCCGCAGTGGAGTGCTAGAGTCGTCAATCGCCCCATCAGTGTGTGTGGTATCCTGCAGTGCCCATGGTGGACTGGTTGGCCAGGACGGTCCCGTTGACTCCCTGCGCAGGCTCTACGACACCTCCGTTGCTCACAGCACCCACACCGGCCCAGCCCGCACCAGCCTGTAAGTGACTACAAAACAATGGAGCTGTTAGCTGGTGGCATTGAAAAGCACAATTAGGATGTAAAGAGTTCACACTTAGATATTGCTTGATAATAGTAGCAGGTTTGACATGCTGTCCCGGGAGAGAACCCTGAGCTCGGAGATAATTGAGCCCCACTTGGTCAATGAGCATGTAAGGGGGTATGAGAACAGGTAGTTCAAGAGCTCCCCCTGGTTAAGGAGGAAAATAAGGGAGTAGTTTTAAGCTGCGGTCACACTAGAGTTTGTGAGTGCAAAATTCTGTCATACGTCACTTCGAAAAGGGGCAGGATTAAACAAGATTAGACATAAAAAAAAAAAAGCGAGTGATTGGTCCATGTTTTAAATTCCTGTCCAGAGAGGTCATTTTGATCCTCGATTGGTCTCACACAGTCATGTGATGTGATTTTGCAGTTCATCAAGCTTGAACTTTCCAACACATCGATCTGCGAAACGATGCACGAGCTTGCGTTTCCAGTCTGACGCATTACGTGTGTATGAATGAAAGTCTATGGCGAGAAAAGTCCAGTGTGACCAAGGCTTTAGACAGGCTACTTATAGTGAGTTTGAATTAATCTGATTAGTTTACTAATGATTAAAGATGAGACCAGCTACGATCAATCATCATGTGCTCCTTTCAAAATGAGCTTGTGAAACTTCACTTAGCAGACACTTCTTGTGAGGATTTATGTCGTGTTCTTCACAATACTAGAATTTTGGTCTTAATCGTTACTGTAATTTTATAAACATCCACTTTCCTGCTAATATTTGAGCACATACTCAAACACAGCTGATTGGCCATTTTGTTCACATGCTCAACAGAAATAGCGTTGACTGGCAGTAAGGACATTAGTTCACTGCCCGCACCTTCACAACCAATCACAGTTATTTCAGTTGAGCACGTGAACACAATGGCCAATCGGTAAGCGGTGTTTACATGCACACTCAATGGCACCTAAATGTTAGCGGAATATGGATTTATTAAAGATTTTAAATTTATGTACAGAGTGGTACCAAAATTCCAGTATCGTGACAACATAAGTGACGTCACAAGATACTGATCATGTGACTGGCTTTAAAGAAATGCACTTGATGTTAGTGAAGATCCCAAATGTTAAATTTAATTTAAAGCCAAGACTAGATTTGCCATATATTTAATGAAGTAACAGTAGCTGTATTGTGTAGGGAAGGATTGGAAGAAATACATTATTGTACATTATTTATTGTACTAGTAATGTAGACCTTTTAAAGGTATTAAAGAGGCCATGTAATACATCTTTATTGTTATCAAATCAACAGCAATTTTTCATTTGCCTTTTATTTGTGTGTGACTTACTTAGGCTCGTTTCTTATACAATTATCCCGGTTAGAATTTAACAATGTTAATGAAGCGCTATTTGTGCAGTTTTGCCTCTAATAGATGAAACTATAGATGACAAGATTATTTGAAAAACACATTTAATTGAATACATGTTATTGTTTTATTGAACAAATGTACCTCTCCATTGTATCCTCAGAGACCCAAAAATGTTTGATGATTTGACATTATGATCACATGTTAGAACATGCAGATGATGAGAAATATTTTTCTGCTATTTAAAAAGGTCAAATCCTGCTAAAAGGATTTTAAATTTTACATTTACACCATGCAATATCTGCCAGCCATTGAGACGTACTGACTGATTTGCTGTGTATAATTTCATGGTGAATCAAATACAAAACCTTTGTTTGCCTTTCAGAACCATAATTGCTGATTGCAAATAGCCTGTGGGATATGGCAAAAATGCAATCTCAATAATTATTTTCCATATTGTACAATGATGCTATACATTTCGATACAAGTTGATAATGCTTCCAGATTTAAAAGAGTACCCCGAGAATTACTAAAGCCACATTAATTAGAGGGTGCATTAAATGGCATAACATTTTCTGCCAATACATTTTCTGTGGCTGAAAATTCGGTACATCTCTAATATCAACACACTTCTAGATTCCCATTGTTGCACATTTCTGCTGTGTTATTGGCACTTAGGCCCCGTTTACACTAGTGCGTTTTAGTTTTAAAACGGCGTTTTAGAATGAAAACTATCTGTGTCCACACTAGCGTTTCACCCAGCGTTTCTGAACAGCTCTCCATCTACACCAAAACACTGAAAACGCACATCATGTGACTAAAAACACACTCTCAGGCAAGAGCTGCAGCCTATCTACCCAGGTGAGAGCTCTGCTCATCGGACTGCTTATTAAGAATCTCTCGCTGGATCTCACTATATTTATTAAACGTGACATTTCATTCATCTTGTCTATATCTAATGACATATTCCCCGACTTTGGTCATTGGAATCTATTACTTGTTCTCAGGTAACGTGTTTTGGCTAAGCGCAAAGATAAGTTATTAATGTAACCACGTAGCCTACATTCTGTATATTGACTGATCACTTGCCTTTATTTCCTATAATGTATAAATTAGAGCTGTTTTATACATTATAGTAGCAAAAACTAAATGCACCTACTATTTTATTTACCAGCCAATCCAGGCATGTTACAAGCAAAATACAAAAAGATGAATGAGATTAATATTTATATAAAAACATGTTTTTAATAAGTTGTTTGTTAATTCAATTTTAATATAACTGTTTGACATTTGACCACACGTTTCATTTTATCAGTTCAAATGTTGAGCAGTCTTAAGTTATAATTAAAACAGGTTTATACTTTTTTTGCATATAGCAAAGTATGTAAGGGTTCATCAATGGATCTACCTCAGAAAAATCGCAGAAATTAAACTTGACACCATCTACATTCGTGTTTTCATTATCCTGCTAAATGAGCGACTCTCTAACATTAGAGGCCTACATAATATTACATGCACATTGTATCTTGCAGACAAATGAAAATTAAATCTGTAGTTACACAAGGTATATTTTCAAGCCCAACTAGCACCAAAGTAGTCAATGATTCATCCAATTGTCTGATTGCATGACACTCACAGCAGCCTCAAACTTTTTCAAAACATTAAACAAAATGAAACCACGTAATCTTACTTGAAGCCCTGCTGATTCCAGGCCTGTCCGTACACGCCGTAAGTGGGTACCTGCCAGCCATTAGGGACATACTGACTAATTTGCTGTGCGTTGCCGTACCATTGTCCCCACTGGCCGTATGGTTGCGCAGCAAAACCAACTTTACTCTGCTAGAAAATAAAAAAAGAACAGAACATAAAACAGAGTCAGGGTTTCTGCAGGTTCCACCGAGTCAAAATAAAGACATTAGGGTCTTTAAGATTATGAATTAAATGTTACACTTGTCCAAGACTAAATTCCAAAGATATTTTTCTAATGTCCTAGTTGGCCCAGAGGAGAAAGAAGAAAAAAAAAAAAAAAAAAAAATATATATATATATATATATATATATATATATATATATATATATATATATATATATATATATATTTTATTTATTTATTTTTTTTTAATTAATTAATTATTAGCCACATATTTTAAATAGTGTCAAAAGAAGCAAACCCTATTTGTATACATACACCTTTTTTCAACAAACTTTCTTTAAAATAAGAACTTTTACAATTTTTTGTAAGAAAGATAATTAAACCATATTGGTAAATAGGAGTTAAGAAATAAAAATTTGTAAAACTTTTATTGAGATGGATTGTTGGTCACTGGAAAGGTGCTGGCCCGTTTGGGGTAGTTTTCCATAGACAAAGGAAAAATGAAAACTGGTTTAAAATAATTTAAGTTCTGTAACAAAATACTTTAGTCAGTTTAAGACATTAATACTTTAAATAAATACAGACACCCTGAGATTTAATTAACAGCAAACATTTTCCATAACTAGATTAAATTTTACAAGATTCCCAATGCTCTTATATATATATACACTGCTAGAACACTTCTAAACTATATTTAAAATAACAGAAAAAGATACTCCTGCTCACCTGGGGTACCTGCACCTGCTGCATGGGGCTCACCATGTCTGTAGTCTCCTTACCCCAGTAACATTTCACTATGTGACCTTCTAAGGACGTACCATTTACCGACACTATCGCATGAGCTGCACTTTCATGAGAGTTGAACCTGCAAATATTAAGAACACTCTTAGATCAACCTAATTGAAGAATTTAAGCATAACTACAACATCCCATTTTAATAGCATTGACATACCGCACAAACGAGTAGCCTTTGTCTGGGAATACTCGAACTTCCATGATTTGGCCAAAAGGGGAAAATGTTTGTCTCATGAGTTGTTCTTCAGGGGTAGAAAAATGAGAGAAGTTAAAAATTACTTTCCATTCATACTGGATTAAATTTAATAAAGTTGCATAAAATTGTCCAGCTTCAACTTTACAAAAGGGTAATATCTGGTAATCAATCAAATCTGGTACAAGTCGTTTCAGGTTATAACCTACAGCATACACTAACCTGTAAGGCCTGTAGTGACTCCACCACAATAGACAGTGCAGTTGCTGGGACTGGACTGATTCACTACTTCATCAAACGACAAGTGCTTGGTGTTCGCTGTGAAATACATTCAACAAATGTGGATTAACCTCTTTGCTCATTTCATACACTAATAAAATTCATTATCACTAGTCTCTGGAGTTTTTTTTAAAGATCGATTATACACTTATTACAACACAGCAGTATTTATGCAACGATTCCAAACATGCTCTTGCACGTACCATAATAAACGCTAAACCTGAATGACATCTTGACATGCCATACCGGAATTGAACGAGAACTGACTTCTAGTGAAAAATTACTTGGGTATGTCATCACATCAACGCTTTGCGTAATCTAATTCAACGTGGGAATTAGTGCAACAAAAGCCCTGCAAATTACTTTTAACTGTTACTTATCATTTATCAAAAAAAAAAAAAAACTGAACTCTAGATTTTAAAGATTTGCTTTGCCTCAAATATAGAATAGGGTTTATAATAATGATGATAATAAGAGTAATATATAAATATATACATTTGAAAAGAATATATAAATAAAATTAAGTGTCTGTATATTTATATAAACAGTTTCCAACTCAGAAAGCCAACAATTTAAAAGGTCAAGACACACTCAAGGACTTTTGAGATTTTAACAAATTTGTGCTTGAGCATCAGTTATGACAACATTAGCACCTGTTAGCTTTAATTGTGGGGAAAAGTGGATAATTTTGAGCTTTTTTCAGCTAATTTCATCTTCCGAGTTTAAAACAATTTTTGGGGCAAGATCAAAAATCGGTGATGTAGCGTGAATCTGCTAGTGGAGTGATGACACGTCTGATTCTCATTATAATTCATAGCAGAGTTTTCTTATCCTGTGAGAAGACCCTGCTTCCTAATTATTCATGAGAGCATGTGCTTTCTGAATGCAAGGCAGACCTGCCAAGCTGTGAGAACAAGTCTACATATGACAAGCAGTATTTAGCCATTTAGGGTCATATGTGGTTTTTCCCATGATTATTGGGGTTTGTTGCATGCGTTTCCCCGTGATGCTGTCAGAGACGATACAGCAAACCTTTTTATGTTCATCAACCATTTTTGTCGGGAGAGCTGTACCAGAACTGGAGAGTGGCAGAGTGTCTTTAATCAGTTGAGGTTGTTCCCATTCAGACACATGGCCTATCCATGCTGCTGTGTTCGCACGTTTAAAATCCTTCAGATTACCAGCAGGGTGAATGGTTGGAATAGACAGGCCAAGAGATCTGATGCACTGCTATTCAGACCCCCTAGCTTTTCGCGATTGCTAAATTCAATGCAAAAAAAATAAATAAATAAAATAGACAAAAAGTCAAAAATTACTATAATTATTATTTCTTTGCATATTAACTTTGTAAACTATAAAATCATGCTTCTCCAGTTTGTCTCATTTTGTGAGCCAAATGACAACATCAGTTCGCTCTCCTCTTTCTCCCCTGCTCTGCTAACCACACCCACTCCTCCCTCTGCTCACAGCGCTGCACACCCATTATGATCCTTTTTTTTTTTTTTTTAATTCTGAGGTAGACTTGAACCAAAGGAGAGAGAGTTTCATGGCCCTTCAGCACAAGTTAGGTTAGTTTCTCATGGTAACTGCGGGAAACAAATAAAGTTGAACACACTTTCATAAGTGGCTTTAGGTGCTGGCGGTTTTCTTGTAGCCCAGTTGGTCCTGATTTGCCGGCCACCCAACCACTGACCTCCCATCTGCTGAATGGCATTCTCCGCATCCTGTAAACAAAAACAAATGCGAACTTCAGTGCACAACAAAAAAATAGGAGCTTTTGGGATTTGCATTTAAATGCAGATGTTCCACACCCTGATTCTACTTCAGTGAAAACCCTGTATTTCCTGATGTAGGGATTGTGACTCACCCATTTGTTGAAGAATGAAACAAAACCATAGCCTTTTGACTTCCCCGTCGCCATGTCTTTCACTACACGTGCATCTCTTAAGGAAGAGAGAGAGGAAAGTCAGGAATGTTGATCACATATTTCATGTCTTAAAATAAAAACTAGCACCATCAGAAAACAGTTATAAGAGACAGTTACTATTTAATGAGATGAAAATCATGTTAGAAAACCAGTAAATCTACAGTAAGGTTGTATTAGTTAAAGATCCCCTATTATGGGTTTTTGAAAATGACCTCCCATGTAGTGTGTAGGTTTAAACCTGAAAGTGCAGTGTTTAAAACTATTAATTCATCTATAAAGAGTCGACTCATAGTGCTTAAAATGAATAGTCTTGATAACGAGTCTTTCCAATATGAAACTTAAGCCCCGTCCAATTGTTGCAAGCACAAACCTGGGAAAATTTAAACCCGCAGCCCTGCCCACTAACACTGTAGCAGATCCCAGTTGAATCAAGTCGTAAAGACTTGTGTGGTGGAGTTAAAATTGCGTGAGTTTTCCATGATAAATAACAAAACGGGAGGATTGTGGTAGATGGGTCGGAAATACGAGAGACTCTCTGGAAAAACAGGTGTTGGCAGGTATGTTCACACATACACTAAGCAATCTGACTACTTCAATATTGTTGATAAGCCGTGGTGGTAATTTCACTTAAACCTGGTTTTTACTTCTGTGTCAAGTGATGGGCGTAACCCATGGTGAATACAACGCACGTAGCTGTGCATTTATACTTCTGCTCGCCGTTTCGTTTGTTCTGCAATAACGCTTCCATAACGCTAGTTGGCAGTGAGGTGTTAATGTTCCTCTGTTTCGAGTTTCTTCACTGGTGTTTTGTTTTTTCTGAACGCTTCTTTAATGTACAAGTGGCTTAAACTCGCTCATTTTGAGGCAGGAACCGGCAGACGTGCAACAACTTTAACCATGAGGTAAACACACAACAAAACTTTCCATCCGGAGCTCCTTCACGGGACTCCACATTTATAAACAATCACTCCGTCGGTCTCGTGGACGATTTCTATTTTGGCTTCTAGCGTTTATGAAAAAACATTAATCGAGATAAAACAATTATTGCATCGTACCACCCCCTTTCAAGTGTTCACGTGAAAATTACTAAAAACATGTAATGTAATGTAATTTTTGCAGCATGGGATGAGCATCATTCATTGATGTGCATTCGAATCATTAATGTTTTTAAAAGCACAAAAGAGATTGCATGCTGTAGTGTATATGCGCTCAGCTTAGTCTCAGAGACCAAGTCATCTTAATGCGAGCGCTTTAATGGTCAAATACATGCAAATTTGTGTCAAAATGTGGTGTTTACTAATTATTTATATTAGGGTTGCACGGTTTACCAGTACTATGGTAGTATCGTGATACTTTGGCTCCAAAATACTGCCAGTGCTGCTGTAGTTTGTAAACAGTAGTATCGTCATTAATGGTCTATCCAAAAATAGTAAGAAGAAACATTGAAACAATTTTTGACCACTTAATTTAGCCTAATTGTGTTGGAAAATGTTCTTTCTGTAACATTTCATGAGGTATAATTTGTATCTTTATTTTAATGTATTTTAATATAATTTTTGCTAGTCAGTCATCTACAAAACAAAAAAAACACTTTAGGTGAAGTGATGTGCAAAGAATACTTTTATCAATAACAAGGGAATTATGAATTAACTTCAAATATGCCCATTATAACATATAAAACCGTTTTTCTTCTTATTCTTTTTATAATTTAAGTTACAAATTACCGTATCGCAATACTACTTGGTATCGTGATACTTTAACTGGTATAGTATTGTAACATAAATTAATGGTATCGCGACAACCCTAATTAATATTAACCCTCATTTATGTAATAAACAAACGAGTTGAGAATCAAAAGACGTGAAAGTGAAACCATATATCACAACAGTAGTTTCTTCTGCAGACAATCAAAAAATATATATTGCTTAAGGGAGGGGGGGCTTATAATATTGACCTTAAATAGGTTTCAAAATATTTAAACCTGCTTTTATTCCAGCCAAAATAAAGCAAATAGGACTTTTTCCAGAAGAAAAAATACTGTAGGAAATACTGTGAAAAATTATTTGCTCTGTTAAACATCATTAGGGAAAATATTTATAAAAAATAAAAAAATTACATGAGGGTAATAATTTTGACTATATACTTTTTAATAAACATGATTACGATTAGAACCAAAATAATCATGATTATGATTTTTCCCTTATAATAACGATAATTATAATTATGTATAAAACTACTTTTGTTTGACAAAGCAAGACAGAGTCTCCCAACACAATTTTAATGTAACATTTTACTTTACATTTATACTTTAATCTTAATGTTTATTATAATCACAATTTTTAAAATAAATAATTATAAATAAAACTATGCATTTTAACTTACGATATCCTGCCAAAAGGTGCAAAGGCAGCTCTGATGTCATCAGTGGTGATTTCTGGACTGAGGTCTCCAACAAAGACGTGGAAGTGATCTAAGGACACCAGACAAAAGATACTTGAATTAATGACACACCCATTATAATATTCAGACTAAATGCTAAATATTATCAACCAATCATTGTTTGGGGATATTATAGGAATCAAGAAAAAAACACTCACTGCTTGTGTCTTTTTTCTGGCTGCTTGGTGATGTTGCCCAATTGACCTTTACCTCCTAGAGGAGAGGAGTAGAGAGAGAAAATATTGAGAGAAATAAAATTATACAGACATGGTCATGTTGCTGTTTTCCATTTATCTTCTTAACACAATAGCTGTGTGAATGTGCAGCAGAGAAGAGGGAGACCTGACCATAAACATTTCTTACTTCACTATTCTAGTCTGAAATTGTTTGAATAGGTGAAAAAGAAGTAGTACAAAAATAATCTAAATAACAATGGACTTGCAAAACAAGATAAATTACCTACTTCTAATACTACTCAAATCGTACTTCATTAGCTGTTGAAAATATCATATTTTGAACTGAAATCAAATGGCTGATTTTACTGTACTGTTTAATCTAATGGTAATCTAGATATTTGATTTGATGTAATATGGATTGTTCTTCAAAATTTAAAGTCAATAAGATGACCCCTTAAATTAAACATTTTATTCAGCAAATCAGTCAAAATATTTATTAGTTCCCTAATATGATGCAAATTACAAATCTACTTTCAAACACTGATGAGAAATTATACTTAATATATTTACATAATATTACAAATATTACCACCAACTTATCTAGCATATGTTTTTACACCGTGGATGCCCTTCCAGCCACAACTCAGTACTTGGAAACAGGAATAGTTATTCATTTATAACAATATTCCAGAATAATATGGTTTTACTACATTTTTCTTAACAAACTGTTTTAAAATCTTTTTGATCCATAACTTGGAATGGTAATATTCAGCAAGACATCTTAAATATTATTTATGAACTACTAAGATGACAAGACCGCAAGTGAGTGTGGGTGTCATTTATAGTGTTTTTCATAATGTTGCCTTATGTATTTTGGATGTGGTGATGGTTTGTGGTAAATCAAATAAAAACTAGATGAATTTTAGAATTAAATAAAATTCAATTAAGAGCTTTAAAGAGGTGCCTCTTTATGTGGACGCACTTATTACTATTACATTATTTTGTTAAATCAAATAATAAATCAACAAATTTCTTATGGGAGGAGAATGTTTTTTCCCTATATAGTCCATTTTTGGGGATTTAAACAATTACAATGGTCCTGCTTTACATTTTTAATTTTCATAGCATCCGAGAATCCAAACAACGTGCAACTATTGATAAATAATCCCATGTCAGGTGTTTGAACATAAAATTAACATTGAATTGCCTCTTGTTAAAGTTGAAATAGTGACAACGAGAAGGAAATTTTCATGGGCCAATGACATCATATTGAAATATAGGTCTATAGGTCACCATCTCAAACTCTCCTTTTTAGTTCACACTGTACATCCAGTTCACAAGCTAAATATTGACCTCAAAATCATGTGGTCAAGTTTAATACACATAAGATTTTAACAGTCCCACCCTCCCGTCCCAGCCCAACTCACCCTGTAGATACGATAGCTTACCTTACCCATTATTTTACGCCCATTCATGGCTGCGAGCGAGGCCGCTGCGTGCCTATGTTCGAAGAACTCCACAAAGCAGTATGGATCGTTACCTGCCGTCTGAAAGCAAACAAGTACAATTAGACATCAAATTAATTTCTTATATCAAGTCTTTGAAAAAGAAACCTTGTTAATATGTAACATTAAAAGGGGAAATAAGGTGTTGCTTTTAAACATTACTAAAAGAGCATTTCAATATGGGCACAGTGTGTGTGTGTGTGTGTGTGTATTTATATACACACACACATACATACGTGTGCCTGTCTGTTTGTGTATCACAATGATGGTCAAAAACTTGCATTAATATACGTGTTAAAATATACTCACATCGACAATCATTTTACAGCTCTTGCAGGGGCCAATCTGACCAAAGAGCTGCATAATAAGGGCCTCGGTCACATCTCGAGACAGGTTTCCGACATACCTGCATTTAAAATAAGGTTTAATATTAAAAAGGAGGATAAGCAAATAAGAGTGAGTGGCCTGTTGAATTCAAGAAACCTTTATTTAAATCTATAATCTGATACACTAATTATAGGGGTCCAGGCACGCACTATGTGGCATCTTCAAGTACCTGAATCAAAATGATCCGCCTAATCTACATTACAAAAGAACTCGGTAGGCATGAGGACCCACGGGCCGCTACTTAACCTTAAAAACCTCATTAGCCATCCGGCAACGAGCTGCTTATTATTATCGTATGTACAGGTTTCAAACAAAGACATGACAAAACAGAGCAGAGGAGCACGCACGAGCGCGCAGCCAGCAACAAAAGCCCTCACTGTCGGATACGAGCAGTCTGATAAGACCAAAATAAGAACCATTTTAACATATATTAATCTATATTTACATTCGGGCTGAGTGTCAACAGTTTAAACATTGTGCGTTATAAATACATATCTGAACGCATGAGACGGATTCTTTGTCTACCAAAGCTGTAAAGACAATGAGCTTTCAGTAAGTACAAGGCAACTTCACGCACTCAAACACAGACAGCAGTGTGCGAGTGTGTGTGCTCGCGCCGTGCTCTGGCCTCTAAAGGCCTGCTGCAATTATCCAAATTAACTCACTAACTAGCACATGGTGTGCGAGATGCTTTAAATCACACGACTGGCCTTTGTCTCCCGATATTGAGCCCTAAATCTAGTGTGAATTTTTCATTCCAGCATTCAGGGCTTTTGTTTGGGGCTCAGATTTTACACGTCTGCTTTGTGGTTGTAGTTCCTTTAGCATCACAGTCAGGACTGCTTAGAGCTGCCGTTACGCGTCAGTTAAGAGAAATGACAAAGCAGAGAGTGTTTTTTTTAAACTATGGCTTGGCATGATGTGAAGTTGGCTGTCTAAAGTACTAGAGTATAATGCCGATATACGTACAGGGTCTTGGGCTGCTCGTCGTCCATCATATTTTCCTGATAGAATTAAGACACCGAACCCTGAGAGAAACTCCTCTTGTGTCGATTGTGAGATGATCTCGCGTTCCACCCGTGTCTCGCTTTTTCCAGTGTTGTTACCCTCTCTGATCTCCGTCAAACCTGTTATAATGAGAGTAAATGTGAAATGCCGCCTCGGCTGACTCCAGTTATGAACAATGGAAAGGCGACATAAGATGGCGGAGGAGCCGGACCGGAAATGCAAGCGCGCATGCGCGTACCAAGTACAAAGCGCACAAAAAAGCAAGCTTTGAAAATGTGCTCAAATGCTAACGCACTGTTTATTAAACCGTAACTTTTGTGCATTACATTGCTAGTTTAGACGTGTAACGTTACCAATTGTAATATGATTTAAAAAGGTAGGAGACTACGTAGATTCGTGACAAAAAGTAAGTGCGCCGCCCGGGAATCGAACCCGGGTCGCAAGAATGGGAATCTTGCATGATACCACTACACCAGCGGCGCTCTATGGGAAGGGGAGTAAATGTCCCTAATAATTGATGATCAAACCATGAAGGGAATATTTCAGGAAGGGAATTTTTTTAAGTAAAATTGTCAAAATTACGCTTTCCTCGTGGAGAATGCTTTTTGTCTAATTATGAATTGTGAATTATTAGATCAGAAACATATTAACCATTGGATTTTAAGGTGGCAGAAAATGTATAATACAAAATTAACGTTTCGAGCACAGTCTACGTTTAGGACATTTGCATCGCAATCAATTTGAAAGGTTGTGTATATTCTAATTTCATAAAATAAAATGTATTTTAATTATATGGTGTTGTTGACAAAGTAACCATGGCAACCTTTCAACTAGGTTTTTGCGTTGTGTGCTTTTTTATCAACGTACAGTGTCTGGTTGACTGCTGAATGTATCAGTATGCCTATACTCAAAATTCCTATTAAACATCATTTAGGAATAGTTTCTCAATCTCAACTCGAACAATTAATAAAACGCCACAGAAAAAAGAGAGAAGAAACTGGAAATGTTAGTGCAAGAAAAAAAATCAAACGGTAGGTATAAAATTCAAAAGGTAAGTAAATGATTTGCTATCCAAAAATAAACCATTTATCCATTCAACTATATTATTATTATTATTTTTAGTAGTAGTAGTAGTATTGACACAAAACTGACAGTAAATAGGACTTTTCTTTCTTATTTTACAGAAATCCCCTTGAAACAACAGAAGACTTTATTGAAAAATACAATCAAGTACAAGGTAGCAAGGAGCAGGAAAAGTATGAAAACCTTGCAAAAGAATTCCTTTGTCGATGGAAGGTATTAAAATGTTTCACACACATTTATATAGAAGAAACATAATGACAAAGTAGGCTAATTCAAATCTACAATGCATTATATCAATACAGTATTACAATAAAAAATGATACACATATTATCCCTGTACATAAAACCCTCAATCGGTTTTAGAGCTTTATGAGCTTTTATGTTTAGTACTAAAGAAGGTAATTTTAAGAAAGATGAAAACCTGCAACCATTGACTTCCATTTCCAAATTAATACTATAGAAGTCAATAGACCCTTTCACACAAACAGACTTTTGGAAACGGACCATGTGTGAACAGGCCCTTTAAAAAAATAATGGTAAATATGTTCTGCCGGAAAGAGAAGTTGTAACATTACAATTTCCCGAATGCTGCTCTGTGTGAACCAAGCGGCAACCTCCCACACTCCCTCGGGAAACCAGTATGGAAGTAACTAAAACTGCTATTCATTAATTCGCCTTTGGGGGTTGGGTCCATGAAATCCAGATGATTTCTGACTGCAATGGTATATTTGCCAGTTTTACAGCTGATAAAAACATGTTTACAGCCTGGTATAAAGATGGTTTTAGTCCATATAGCTAATACCCTTCATGACAACTGTAAGGAGGGTGATTTTTTTTTTTATAACTCAACCGTTTAATTTTATTAAGTCTGCATAATTAAGGGCCCCACTTAAGCGACAGCTAGGTCTCACTGCTCGCCATCTCGTCACCTCAGCTGATTCCGGCTGATTAGCAACTGAACTCGGCATATATATATCTAATTTTTTTGTTGTTTTATGTGGCTTCACACAGTCAGTTGCTTTTTTAAATTATTTCCTACAATTATCAGATACTTTAGCATGCAGTGTGCACTTAATTGTTCTCACAAACCATTTAAGTTGCCTCCATTTCCCAGGTGAGTGAAATTTTTATACATATCTATAAATGTATTTGTTTTACTTAAGATCATTTATCATATATAATTTTTTTTAGACCTGTAATGCACTTCAGAATCTGAATACTTCTGGATACTATGCCCATAACTTACAGTCTATGGTGTGAACAGAAGGAAATTTGTCAGAAACAATGCTCTGACATGAGACGTCTACTCTACAGTTTATGAAAATAAAAGCCTTTGAATCCTTATCCAGACACTTTAAGCTGCTGCATTTTAATCAAATAACGTTTCTGGTGTCAACTGTGGGGAAAAACTAATCGATAAATTGCATATGATAAACCGTCATGAAAGGCGAGGCAGTGGCACAGTGGGTAGGGGTGTCGCCTCACAGTAAGAAGGTCGCTGGGTTGCTGGTTCGAACCTTGACTCAGTTGTTGTTTCTATGTGGAGTTTGCATGTTCTCCCTGCCTTCGTGTGGGTTTCCTCCGGGTGTTCTGGTTTCCCCCAAAGACATGTGGTATAGGTGAATTGGGTAGGCTAAATTGTCCGTTGTGTGAAGAAGCACTCTGGTCAGTTAGATTTAGGTTGTTTACAACACTGGTAGTCTTTTATTTTTAAAAGTATCTCACAGGCCGCAGCACACTCAGATATATCGGTAACACTTTGCAATAACAGTACATGAATAATGATGTATGAATATGTAAACTAAACATTAGTTTATTATGAATTAATGATGAGTTAAGGTACGCACTAATCATGAATTAGCTTTAACTACAACATGAGTCACATGTGTTCATATGTAAGTAACGACTACCTTAATTACTTGTTAGTACATGTTGTTAAATAATGTATTAATTTACATTTAAGTTCAAGCTAAATGTAACCAACATTAACTCATGAGCTGTTAATGTATAGTTATGTCATGACTTTACTTGGAGGGGGACATCACTATTAACTCATCCCTAACTACTCATGAACTCCTGTCCCATTATACTCTAGAACAATTTTCTAGTGTTATTCAGAGTAAACTCACTTGTTGGGCGCGCATAAGGAGTTCATGAGTAGTTAAGAATGGGTTAATGATGATGTGCCCCTCCAAGTAAAGTCACAACATAATTATACATTAACATATCATGAGTTCATCATGGTTAAATTAAGCATAAACTAATGTAGTAATTAATACATTAACTAACAAACAATCATGTACTAACAAGTAATTAAGGTAGCCGTCATTCACACAAGAACTCATGTGAATCATGTTGTAGTTAAATTTAATTCATGATCAGTGCTTACCTTAACTCATCATTAATTCATAATAAACTAATGTTTAGTTTACATGTTAATACATCATTATTGATGTACTGGTATTGTAAAGTCTTACCGATATATCTCCACATGCGTGTTTGAGATGCCTCAACCACGCAGCCTTCGGTAAGTAGATTTTTATTCTATCGTTATTTGGTCTGTCTCTGGGACAAAAGCAGCTACATGAATGCTAAAGTTTTAAATAAAAGAAATCAGCAACCACTTGACTCCCTTTATGTTTACAAACAAAAGCATGACCATTTAAAGTTCATTTATAGTTAATGTCAGAATTTACGGTATTTTGGAAAGGATGTGTGAAAAGATCTTTTCCTTGCTTGTGTGAAAAGCACATATTTGAATTTACCAGTGAAGTTGTTCAGGAAATTTCCTGCACGTTTACCGGTATCACTGTGGGGGTCAACGGTTACAGGTTTCCAGTTTTCTTCAAACATATCCTCTTTTATGTTCAAATGATGATAAAACGATCAAAGATGTTTGGAACAGGTAAAGAGCGAGTAAATGATGTCAGAGTTTGATTTTGTTTTGTGAACTATCCCTTGAATGAAATTTGACGCATTTGTCCAGCCACGAGGTGGAGCCAAATCTCCATCTATAAAATACTGGACTAAACTGTAGCGATTCTCTTTCTCTGTTTCTACTCAGCTCCTTGCAGGATTCACAGCTGCTGCTGGTGAAGGCAAACATGTTGATCTCCCCAGGGCCTGGACACAGCTTCTCCTGCTGAGCTTGAGCAATGGAAACGTTAGAAATGGTGTGTCAATGACTGACAGTGTCTAATTTTACAAATGAATCAGATGGTACATACATACACAATTTAGCTTGTATAAAAAACGAGAGGACTCCGGCAGCCTACTCAGAATGATTGTTATCGTTTTAACGAGATAACTGCAATACGTTGATATATTAAATTAAAAAAAAACACACACACAGGGATGAGTAGCCCAACACAAAATTTTATGAAAAATATTAATCAACTCAAACTCAACACACCTGAAGCAGTGATAGGTGCGTCTAGAAAGAAAATTGACGTCAAAATGTGCGCAGCTAAAACAAGCAATCCTGCACACTATTTGCTAAATGATTTATTGAATTCAATGTTACATTTCGGTCACATGACCTTCCTCATCCTCAGACATTTTTTTTAATGGTTTTAATTGTAGGCCTACTTCTAGATGAAACCATTAGAGTCTTCTGTTTACAAGTGGTTTTAAAAAAATAGTTCACTCCAAAATTTAAATTAATTCACCCTCAGGTGGTTTCAAACCATATGAGTTTCTATATAATGTTAAATGCTAAATAAGGTTAAGTATATGTTGAAGGTTTTTCATTGTTGTTTTTAATACAAGTGATATTGTGCAAATTTTTTTTTCTTTTGGTCAGATTCACTAAATGTCCTGGTGGTGTCATTGGATCATGCACCCTTTAACGCAGATCAGATCCCTGTGCTCTTCCACCTGGTAGAATCAGTCCAACATTTCCTTTGCTCAAACACAACTCTGTCAGAACAGCCATGTTCATATGAGAAGAAGATGCTGCAGGTAACGCAACACACTATGGGCACTATTTTAACAATCTAGGCGCAAAGTCTAAAGCATGTGCCGCAAAAGCATTAAGGGTGTTTTTAAAACCACTTTTGTTATTTTAAGGTTAACAGTTAAACAGAC